CTCATCCCTCATCCCTGGTCCTTTCTCTGGTCACGAGGATTTGGGATCGCTGGTTTGCACTGTGGATCCTCCTCATGGAGATGAAACCCACGGATCTGCTAAAAACGCAAGGCTTGGGAGATCCAAAGGGATGCTGGAGGTCTCTACGTGCTCCATTGTCTCCCATTGAGATGGGATTACCAATAATTACTGGATAATCATTGACCTGTAGGATCTCCCATCACTCCATCCCAGTGTCCTTCCTAAAATCCCAACAGTATTCCATCAAAATCCTCTTTTCCTTTGCTCGCTCCAGGTTCTTCACCATTTTTGCACAAAACGCCACCAGGGGTCACGGATTGATGACAAGCCCCGGGTGAACTACCAGGACTTCCCAAAGACCCCAAAAAGGCTTTCCTGACCCTGAGCAGCTTCAGGATGCACCAGGAGGAGCTTCCAGAGCCAACCCCAGACTGAACTGGCGTCACATTGTTTGGGATCGTGTCCCTCTGCCTCCTTATTTTTGGAAACCCTGTCCTCTGGATTCCCACCATCTGGAGCACTCCCTTGTCCTCCATCCCCCAAGAGGGGCTCCAGGAGAGCTGGAGGGGACTTGGGACAAGGGATGGAGGGACACAGGGAATGGCTTCCCGCTGGTAAAGGGGAGATTTGGATGGGATATTGGGAAGGAATTCCTGTCCGGGTGAGTGGAGAGGGGCTGGGCTGGAATTCCCAGAGAAGCTGTGGCTGCCCCTGGACCCCTGGAAGTGTCCAAGGAAAGGTTGGACAGGGCTTGGAGCAACCTGGGATAACGAAAGATGTCCGTAGGGGGTGGGACTGGATGGGATTTAAGGTCCCTCCCCACCCGAGCCATTCCATGATTTTACGGTTCCATGATTTGGGTGTTGTCCCCAGAACAGCCTCCGCTGAGGACAGGACATCACACTCACACGAGGACCTGGTGTCCCCCCTGGTGACATCTCCAGTTCCTCTCGGCCGCGGTGCTGGAGCTCGGACAGGTCCCGGGCGGATCCCGGCGTTCCAGCGGGAGCTCCGGGCCAGCGCCTCGGCGGGAAGGGTCCTGGTGAGCTCAGGCGCGGCCCAGGTGGGAC